AGGTGTCGGGGAAAGAGCTGCCCACACAGGTCAACGAGGTCACCATGACCCTGAAGGTCAAAGGCCACTTCGATAAGGAGCTGAAGGAATGGTTCGCCAGCAAGGGCTTCTGACGGTGCTGACCTTCCGCCACTGTCACAGCACCTTGCTCTGGGGCTGAGCTACCCATGTGGACATAGATGGGACTACTGGCACTTGTTGGCCTCTGCAGACTTGTCACCCAGTCGAAACATTGCCCTACAGTTCTTTAAAAATCTGTTTCAATCCATATGGAAGCAGCTGTTTTTTTTCTGCAATCACAACTTCACTGAACTCTTTTCCACACCAAAGATGCTGAAGTTATTGGATCATACAGTTAAAAGTGTTTGTCATGAATATAATAAATATAAAGGCATAGCCCACGGTCTGTTCTTACTGCAGTTAACGCAACAGGTTCCTAAACTTTAGCAGCATTTGATTGTTAGAGCTTTTCTCTCCATCTCAGATGGTTTAGCTTTTCTCCAAATTCTGTGTGATGTATTTAAATCACTTGTTTTATCTGTCCATAAAAGGTTAAAGCATGAACCAGCACACATTTAGCTAATTTCTGGATAAAAATTTAAATTGTTAATATCTGACAAATAGCAATGCTCAAAAATAATCATAAAATGAACGAGAGGGAATTACAATAGAAAAAACAAGCAGGTTAAAAACATTTGAATTTATTCAGTAATACAATATACATGCCAGTCATACTAACATTAAATAGCATGGACTCTACGTGCAGAGGAAGATGAGTGCAGCTCTGCTGAATTGTCTGAGCAACCGTGGCACTCACTGGGTAATGTCAGTGAAATCACACTTGTCGTTGGTCACAATTGTATTTAAAGTCATAGTTTTAACAGTATTACAGATCAGGCTCCCCTCCCATTAGTACTGCATTATTTTGAGTGCTTTGCTCACAGAGGTCAATCAGCATCCACACTGATGGTTTGACGTTCTTGGCCAGTGCCTTGCATTGTGCAGTGTAATGTACAGCATCAGGTGTGAAGCAGGGAGAGAAACTCTCTGCTTCGCCTGGTAAGTTCTTCCAGATGGTCAGCTAGAAAAAAAGGAAACAAGTATTTAACAATGTGCAATAAACTGCGTCTGAGTGTGCGTATGAAAGTATATTTACTTACGTAATGTGCACTTCTCTCCTCTGCTCCAGTAGATAGGTCGGGTTAGCAGATGATTTACTTCCTCATATTCTGATAGTTCATTTAGCATTTCCAATTCCTGAGAAACATGTATGAGGAAAAAGTGTGTTTTGATTTTACAAGTCAGGCCTGTGTTGATGGATTTTTATATGTGCATGTCTGCACCATTTTCTACATAGTTGCTTAAGTGAGTATTCAGACCACTTCATTTTTTGTACACTTGTATGTTCCAAATTTATTTTGAACGAGTTACAATTTTTAGTTACTTCTTAGTTAGTACATAGTTAAGTGTATGAGCGTGAGATTTTTTTCTTTTTAAAAAATTGGCAATTTTAAAATCATGAAAAACTGTAGATTAATAGGCAAAAAAGTCAATTTTATCCATTTAGAATTGAATCTGTGATACACACTGCAAAAAGTGAAGGGGTTGAATACTATCTGAACTATGTGTGAGTACCGTGTTGCAGGCCAGCAGTAGTTGGTGTACTCTCTGGAAGATGTCAGTCTCTGTGCTGAAGCTGGGAGGATCTCTGCTGCAGTAAACTCTCAAGTCTGTTTCATAAACATGGCTGAAAGTAGCCATCAGCTGTTGAAGATCACATGCTGCCACACGCAGTGAGCTTGGAGAGAAGACTCCAGGACTCTGTGCCTCATCGCTCAGGAACTCACACTGAGGAGAATGTGGCACTCATCACTACCATGACATTCAAGCATGTCCAGCCAAATCCATGAGGTCTGTGCTTTTGCATTAGATTTAAAATAATTATTAATGCTCTGAACCACAGTAGAAAATTGCTTGGAGTGTCTGACAAATATTCTTAATTCACATAGTAGTAATGTTGGAAGGCCTTCCTCTTTCAGTTTAAGGCTTTACAATGCTGCAGGCATCGCCAGCCGTATCAGCACCATACCTCTGACTGTAGCTGCTCCAGTGCTGACTGAGTCAACTGTAGAAGGGCGGCAACATCAGCACCCTCTTCTCTACCCTGCTTATGAGATGACTTGGTGCCTTTGCATAATGCCCTGTGAGGTAAGAGAAGGAGAGGAGACGTTTAAAGGTAAAGGTTCTGCTGCTGGACAACAAGAAGAAACAAAGAAGACCCACCAAACCCAAACATCTACTAATCAGCCTCTCACTGGGAGTACATTAAAATGACAACCTGCAGCGGATAACTAGAATTACCTCTGTGCAGTTGTATGCCTCCACCCACAAGTCAGGTTCACAGGTATGGGACAGACACGAGGTCACTATGACCAACTAATCAGTTCATCTTTGAGCTGAAGTAGACATTTGTTCCAAATTTAAACACATTTGCTCAAGGCGTTGCTGAGATATCAGATCAACCTGAAAACATATAGTAATGGTACTGATAATGGTACGCTGTGTCCATCGCCCAGGACAAGAGCAGGCTGGTGAGTGTGACTGGCCACAACCTGCCATTGCTCCAGGACTGTGAAGTGAGCCAAAAAGATTGTAGCTGATCCCTCCAAACCCAGACACAAACTTTTTGAAAAACTCCACTCCGGTAAGAAGCTGCTGTCCATCAAGACCAGGACTACTCAGCACCAAAACACTTTCTTTAAGATGGCAGTTTCCCTTATAAAGAAAGCCCAGGACCCCCCACTGACAGACTTTCATCCCACTCCCATGGTCATTTATGCACTAACATGATGTATTTCATGAACACAACTTGTTGCACTCTTTGCACTCTGTCCAGCTCCTTTCTTAATTCAACATATGTATACATTTAGCATAGGTTTACTGTAAAAAAAAAAAAATTCTATTCCTAATTTGTACATTTACTGTTATACTTGTGTAGTCCTTTCTGTAGTAATTACAGTTTTCTTAAGCAGTTTACACCACATTACCAAAACAAATTTCTTGTATGTGAAAACCTACTTGACATAAACCTGTTTCTGATTGCGAGGATAGTCAGTGACAGTAAATTCTATGTACTTGATGTGTGCAGGCCAGGGCTCAAGGGTGGGCTTGAGCATTTGTGTGAGGTGAGGCAGATTCTCAGCAGCATAGAGCTCGTTCAGAAGCATCTCTTTATCCACTCTGTGCCCAGCAGATTTCTTGCAGCCTGGGACTAGAGTTAAAAGCTGCTCCAGGAACAGAAGTTGTCGACGATGACTTGCATCACCCTGGATAAATGGTTTGACAAATTACAAAGACATGATAGAACATTTTTATTTACTGTTACAATGAATATCTGTACATTGATGACATCAGTGCTATTTTGCTGCAGCCTCTCACCCTGATCAGGTCGAGGTCACCTGCTTTGCACAGCATCAGCTTCTGCCCAAACACAGCCATTTCTATACAAAAACAGATCGGAAAAACAAACTATAAATTATAAACCCTGGGCACTGTCACTTCAATTATTTTTCCTCTATTCCATTAGGAGGCAACATTACCTTTAGTCAAGACATCTGGGTCTTTAGATCCCATTGTCATCACCTTGGAATTGGCAAAATTTGGACTGATACTGTAAAATGACACAGTCACAGAGAGGTTTGTTTATACTGATACACAAATTAGTTCTAAACTTAGATGAAAACATGGGTAATGTTCTATGCACTTTATTCTATCTGCTGCAGATCCATGCCAGTATGTCGGTGCGGTGCTGGGAGGGAACACACAGCAGCTGCAGCATGCTGTCTGCTTCCTGCAGGTACAGACCTTCCACCAAGGGGCAGGATGCAGCCTCAACAAGGACAAAACCCAGACACAATATTCATTTGTGGATATGTGTATACAGCAGCAAATAACAGTAATATGTCAGGGGTTGGTGAGAAGTAATGAAATGAGGTGCAGTAGTTCAGAGTTTGCCTTATTCAATTTATATTCTCCTTAAACTTTTGGTTGATTGCTGGATGGCTTAGATGGACTAAATTTTTCAAAAACTTAAAAGAAAATTTCTGAATGTGAAATTGAGCCAAAATTATACAAAAATGTAGATACTTAAAGTTGTTTTTGGTTTTAATTTAATATTAAAACCAGAAAGCTCTACGTATAGTGAAAAATCAAAACACTCTGGAAATATCAACGTCGGTTTAAGCTCGTTAGGTAATTATTAACCACGCCAAGGGGACAAACAGTAAACAACAGCTGGATCATAGGGACACATCCGAACATTTACTCCGCTGCTGGACAGCTGGTTCAAAACGTCTTTGTGACTTCGTCCCTGATGCTTATGTGTATGAATGATGGAGAAACGAAGCCGACTGGGGCCAAGCAAAAATATAACTATAGCGCATACTGTTGCTGTCATTTAAATTTGTTTTCCAGTTGCGTTATCTTATTTTACCTGCAAAGAATCATAAAAAAAAATCGTGCAAGGTCCCTTTCTTTCAAAAGCACCCGCCATTTTCTTCTGCTGCTAATATGCTGTTGAGCTGATTAGGTCCCATACATCTTCATTTTTATCTGTTCATATTTTATATTGACTTGTACAATTTTTGTGTTGTGTATGTAAACAATGTGTCTTTTAAGCCGAGACCTACCGGAAGAAATTTCGTTCTGCTATGCACAATGACAATAACGATACTTAAGTTGACTTGATTGGATTTTCTAAACAATCCGCTTAGCAGCTTCTTCTTCTTCTTCTTCTTCTTCTTCTTCTGTTGTTTAATCGCGGTTGGCAAACAATTCTTGAGGCTCCTCATTCCTCTTCGCTTACTGACGAACTGCAACCGAGCGGAAAATTTGTGCCACCAACTGCCTAAACCTATACTACGATTTAGTTTTTTGATTTTAGAGATTTGATGAGTGGCTGTCAAAAGCCATTTTGAAACGTAAGTTCACAGTAGGTTCATCTTTCGCCGTTAAAATGGAGAGAAAGCGCGCACTGAAAAAACGTCATGTGGTACCATGGAGCAACAAAGCTGAGTGGGATCAGGTTCAGGAGTATCTTTACTCCAAGGATTCCGCCTTACAGAGGTATGCAGTGCAGAGGATATCAGCTTGGAAAGCCAGGTATGCCAATAGTACCCTTGTGGCAGTGGACAGCACAGCGGACCTGGTGAGGTGCCAGGTGCTGGACCGGTCAGGGCAGCTGGATGGAGATGATCTGGTGCTGCTTTATGGAGCCGCCCTAGTGAGGTCTGTCAATTTGATCATTGAGCGACAACGGGGGAAAACAACCCAACCACTGAGGCGGCTGGCTAGGAATCTGAACATCCCAGAGTGGGTTGTAGACCTGAGGCATGATTTTAGTCACAGGAAGCTCCCAACTTTAAAATGGTGTCGAAAAGGATGTGAAGTTCTTCTGGACTGGCTCCAGAAGGAATACTGGTCCAGGCAGTTGGGAGGAGGGTCTAATGAGGACTGGGACGCTCAGTCAGATGGAGAGGAGGAGGAAGAGATTGACCTGAAACGCCAAGAGGATGAGCTTATTGCAAGGCAAAAAGAAATGGAAGCCTACAAGAATGCACGAGAACTTCTCATATCATTTGAAAAGGAGCAGTACCAAGCTTTTGATGGGCCTCCTGAAGACAAAGAGAAGAACTTGTGGCCTTCCCCCTTTGCAGACATGAGCTGGTTATTAGGTGAGATCAAGCAGTTTGCCTCAGAGTCAAGTGATTTGCTGATTGATGTGCTGTTGGAGGATGGGTTTCTGGTTCCTACTGTTGAACAACTGGACGCATTAGGCTGTGACACATCTGTCAACACCAGTTCCACTGAACCCAAACTTCCTCAAACCTTCCTGCGTTTTTGGCTGCCCCTCCTGAAGTTGCTCAACTCACCATTGTTTATTCATCACCTTCTGGAGAAGCTCTTTGTTGAGCTGAAGCTGCTCACCAAAGACACAAATAATCACAGGGCTTTCTACCTTTCTGCTTGGATTTCAGAAGTCATCCTCTGTAACAACAACAAATTTGAATACCATTTTGAAACAAAAGCACAGAAGAAAGCTAGAATGAAAGGCAGGATTTTTGTAAACCGCATCCAGCTGAGGTGGCAGCAGCTACTGTCAGCATGCCTGGATGCTCCCTGTGTCACCACGCCTCACTTGCTCCAGTTAATCCTGAATGACATGGAGCATCCTCTCCCTGGTGAAACCCAACAGAAACTGCTCCAGCTCTGCTCCATCTACACTCAGACCTCACACTCTGTCTCTGGACCTTCTCAGGAGCAAAATCAACAGCCCATATATACGCTGGAGAGTTTGCTTGAGAAGCGGAAGCATTCACCGTGCCACAGCCATCATTGGCACTCCACAGCTGACCAAGAGAGGAACAAGTCCTCCCAGGATTACAACTGGGCAGATGTTCAGGCTGAAAAAGCTCAGCAGCTCAAAGGTTCTCCATGGCAGGTGTGTGCTGATAAAGTTTTGTGGGAGAATTATCCTCTTGGTAAAGTCCCTGGCCAGTCTGATGACCCTTCATACTTCATGGTGGAACACTACTCAACAATGACTGTCTCTGACCAGCCGGTGGAGACAGAGGGCAACACAATACACAACATCCCAGGAGCCTCAGCACCAGTGAGAACGGCTGAAGGCCTTATTTGGGACCAAAGTTATGTTAACAAGCTGAAATCTGGACTGAAACTTTTTTGAGTCAGGAGCTAATACTCTGAAATATTAGCCTTTAACTGCTGGCCTATGGCTGAACCTGTGATCTCTGATGTTTTGACACAAAAAAGACACAAAATGGTCAAATATATAGAAACTTGAATGTTAAACACAGTTTATTGTTGGAGTAAAATAACAACCTGATTAATAAAATGTCAGAAACTAATGAAAAATGTTGATTATAACTTCCCAGAGGCCAAAGTGACATCTTCAAAACCCATTTTTTTCACATGTTTTATAAACCAAACATTTTGTCAGTTAATTAAGAAACAATAACAAATCGGCACATTAATTTTGTTGAAAATAAGTGTTTGAGCCTTAATGTAAAGCCATCATAATGTACACTGTACATTGTTTTTAATATGTGGCTAAGATAAAAGTGGCTCTAGTGCAGACTTTTAACACATCCTGTGAAACATATGTTGCAGATGGCAAGACTGTGAGATAGGAGTGTGATATGATTAATTTGTTCTGATGTAGCCTACAGTTAGAGTTGTCATGTAAGTCATCTTGCACTGCTAATACAGTTGTGAAAACCCTGGCAGAGGGGATATTGTTATAAGCACTAGGATGGTTTTGTGTGATACATTTTTATTTGCTCACATATGTTCAATAAAACCTTTTCTCCACTCAAAGAATATGATTGTGTTTTTTCAGTGTAATAATTCTAAAGCTGAATTGTAGCATTGGTTTTGAAAGGGTGCCAATTTTAGCTGAAATATATCATCGATCCTGGTAATATGCTTATATGTATTGTTAAAGGGAGACAGCAAACAGCAGCATGAGGACAAGAATTAAATGTCAGTACAATAAAAAAAATCTAAGCACAAATTACAGTTTAATATGAGAGATAGTGATCTGTAACAAAGCAGCCTGAAAAATAACCTGAGAAGTATATGGAAAAGCATGTAAAACCAATGTACACATTTTGAGATAGGATTCAGAGTAGAGCTTTACTGTATGGTTGTGTTTAGATGCAATGATTCTCCAATGATCTCCAATAAATACCTTATTAATTGAAGCTGGCAAGTTGCCACTACATCTTCGATGAGAAAAACTATCATTAGCATATTGGGTAAAGTTACAGAGAAGTGGATAGAAACTCCCTACCATTAGGGTTCTTGATGGATGTTGGGAATATGTAAAGTTTAATGATAAAGGTTTCCTGTTACATTTTTTATATAAGATAGCAGGAGAGTATGGGTTGAATGAGCAAATTACAGTCCATCAGGTGTTTCAGGTAATATACCTCCATGGATTATTCTGGATGTACAAGTTAACTTTCAACTGCTTGAAGACAAGAAGAGGTGGTCAGAAATGGATAATATTGATGAGGTAGTCAGTGACTATGTAGGAAATCAGTTCTATAAGTTTGTGATAATATATACATATGGGTCTAAGCAACCTGATACTGGACACACAAGAATTGGTATTTTCATACCAGAGTTTAATGTCACCATATTTCATAGATTAATTGGCAATCTATCTGCTTTTTGTTTCTCCAAAGGTTCTGGTCAACACTGGCAGGCAGCTGATTACTGGGGTTCATAAGTAGACACCACTTTGTTTTAAGAGGTCATGAGCCTGGGAATCTGTGTGGGTGCCATGAGATGCCATTTTGATAACAAGAAATAATAAACATGTCTGTATATATTAGAATATAGTAGACATTTAACTTTGTACTAACCAGTATGTCAAATTAAATTATAACCCCAGGCCAAACAACATCATGGAAATGACACCCATGTAGAACCAATGAGCTCCACCAGCTTGTAGAGATGAATTTGTCCTGTGTGTTCCAGGTTTGCAATCTGTTTAATATTACAGTAATTATATGCTATACAGTTTTGAGTTGTTTCTGTGAGAAAAAAGGTCCATTCTTTTGAAAAGAGAAGACTAATAAAAGATATATTTCTCTATATGAAATTTATTATGCATTAACGTATCAAAATAAGCATGTGCACATGGATCTCTTCTGTTTAGGATAAACAGAAAAGACTAAATTCAACTTAGCAGTACACAACATTTATATGAAAAAATGTTACTCTCTGATTGGTCCAAAAACTGTTGGGGAGGAATTGTGGTTTAAACTTAATTCTCCCAAGATTGGTCCTTCAGTCCGTCCATCCTCCAGTCATCCTCTCTGATCCAATGGTTGTAGATAACACCCTAAAAAGGGAGGAATACTTGCCCTGTCTTAATTCTTACATAGACACCTATCCTTTCTTTGTTACCAAGAGACGCATGGCTTCCCGTTTGGCTAATTAAACTGTCTTGCCTGTGTGTGTCTGTATATTGCCCTGTCTTTTGAAGGTCTTCCTCTTGTTATGGCTTTTAGATCTAATCTCTTGTTTATTACCCCTAGTGTCCCAGTGACCCCAAATTCCCTGGCCTCTACAGCCAGGTAGTAATATAACTTAACTGTGGACCCTCTTTGCTAAAGCTGTAAATCTTAAAACTCAGTGTTTTAATGAACCAGTCTCCCTTTGATGTTAAACAGTACCCTAGTTGGTTTACACAGAAAATACTGTCCAGTGATTAAATGCAGACTTACGGTGATATGTAACTACATAAACATAAACACAACTGTGAGAGTAAAATATATAAACTTATGTATGCTATATAATAAAACCCTAACTAATTATATATTTCTATCTAAAAATGAAAATCACCCTAACATTTCTATTAGAGTGAATAAGTTAAACAGAGTATTGCTATGTGCAAAAACATGTATATATCAGAAGTAAACACTGTGCTTTCAACAGTTTCTGAATCCTACCAGTTCTTTATTCTTCTGTTACTATTATATAACTCTCAACAATTTACAAGTAAATCCTTACTTGCCAGGATTCTTATTATTTTCATCTAAATATAATACAACATATCTGCCATTGATCTATTCTTGACCCTTAGGACCAGAATGGAACTGAAGTGAACAATAAAGGGAGCAGGCCAAACAATCTGTTGCTTACGTCCATGCCGTCCGGTTTATTCAGAAATGTGTCCTCTCCATCCAGCTAGAGCTCCGTGTCCATTCTCCCCTCTTTGACTTGAACTCCACAACAACTCTAAACAAACTGTCCTCCTGCTGTTCATGTGATGCATGTAGTGGGCTGACATGTACTGCCAGAGCTCACTGCTTTACCAGGAACAGACAAAGTTGAGGTGTGACTAAGGCAACTCCTCCAGAGACAGCGACACAGAAAAGGATAGCTCCCACTGTTAGAGTACAACTTCTCCCTTCCCTACAAGAGACTTCACTTCTAAACAGTAAGTTTCAGCTTTATGTCAGAGTGAATAATATAGAGCTGTTCTGTGTCCTCTGTGTGTGATACCTTTAAAAATCACTTTGTATCATATATATATATCAGGGGTCATTACAATATATAAAAGTATAAAAAGGATTACAGAATACAACCCAGGGCTCCCTCCTTCAGACAAGCTGCTGGAGAAGAGAGCAGGGAAAAAGCACCTGGAAACACAGAGCCTAATACATTTATCAGTTTTGGGTTAACCCCTTACACAGATGAAGTCCGTCCCGCAGACTCCATCTCTTATCTAGAGCTCCACATTCTTGGAGCAGCTGCGTATTACCTAGTCACAACAAAATGAGGTAGCTCAATATGTGTGTATGTTGTATGCGTGATGTGTAACTAAACATTCATTCAGACATAATTCTTACACAAGATTAATACAAGAAAACAATCGGTGTCATGGCTTGCTGCTAACCTTGAAACAGAGCAGATTTTGAATCTTACTAAACTGCATTACTAACACATATTAAAGTCTAACACATTAAAGTCTAATAATTATCTGACTAATTTATTAATTTCTAACAATCCAAAACTGTTCATTTGACCATAATGTGTTAAGGATAAGAACAATAAAATCCACAGCTTTGATTTTGAAGCCTTTCTTTCATTACTTATGCCATTCATTATGCAGCAAATTTGGCCTGTTTCTGATGAGCAGTCACCAGTCACATCAAGTTGCCCAGTCTTCCATAGTTTGTTGTTGTCTTTGTTGTGTATTGTTGCTTTGCGTTTCTTTTCTCTCTCTTCTATCCACTCACCCCAACCGGTGGAGACAGAAGGCACCCAACAAGGTTTGGCCATTTGCCTGGTACCTCTTCTTAAAACGAGGACATTTTCTAGTTATAACGTGTTACAGAGTATTCTTCCTCATGGTGACAGTAATACGTTGCCGCACTAAATAAATAAACATATATTTAACATAAAATGAAAACGCTACAGAAATTGTATGACTATATCCGGTATCGTGACGTCACAGTCCTACACAACATGGCGGCCTCCTTCGCCTTCCAGTCCACCATGCTCTACAGGGTCCTGCGTGGAGCTTTCACGCTGCACTGTTGGACACCAGGACCTCCTTCCGCCGTTGTCGGGCTCAGGTTTGTCTGTAACTCTGCTCCTGAAGAAAAAAAGATGGTGATATTGGAGTCTACGGAAGAATACAAGTTCGTAGAGCGGCTCATCCCTCCAACGCGAGTCCCCGCTCCGCCTAAACACGTCGGTCCCACTCCGTCTGGCTGGACGCCTCCGGCAGATTCACCGCCACCTCTACCGTACATGATCCGCCGCTCCCGAATGCACAACATTCCGGTTTACACCGACCTGACCCACGGTAGCCGCAGGACGACGCTGGTACGAAAAGTGGAGGGGGACATTTGGGCTTTGGAAAAGGATGTGAAGCAGTATCTGAAGGAGGTGTCGGGGAAAGAGCTGCCCACACAGGTCAACGAGGTCACCATGACCCTGAAGGTCAAAGGCCACTTCGATAAGGAGCTGAAGGAATGGTTCGCCAGCAAGGGCTTCTGACGGTGCTGACCTTCCGCCACTGTCACAGCACCTTGCTCTGGGGCTGAGCTACCCATGTGGACATAGATGGGACTACTGGCACTTGTTGGCCTCTGCAGACTTGTCACCCAGTCGAAACATTGCCCTACAGTTCTTTAAAAATCTGTTTCAATCCATATGGAAGCAGCTGTTTTTTTTCTGCAATCACAACTTCACTGAACTCTTTTCCACACCAAAGATGCTGAAGTTATTGGATCATACAGTTAAAAGTGTTTGTCATGAATATAATAAATATAAAGGCATAGCCCACGGTCTGTTCTTACTGCAGTTAACGCAACAGGTTCCTAAACTTTAGCAGCATTTGATTGTTAGAGCTTTTCTCTCCATCTCAGATGGTTTAGCTTTTCTCCAAATTCTGTGTGATGTATTTAAATCACTTGTTTTATCTGTCCATAAAAGGTTAAAGCATGAACCAGCACACATTTAGCTAATTTCTGGATAAAAATTTAAATTGTTAATATCTGACAAATAGCAATGCTCAAAAATAATCATAAAATGAACGAGAGGGAATTACAATAGAAAAAACAAGCAGGTTAAAAACATTTGAATTTATTCAGTAATACAATATACATGCCAGTCATACTAACATTAAATAGCATGGACTCTACGTGCAGAGGAAGATGAGTGCAGCTCTGCTGAATTGTCTGAGCAACCGTGGCACTCACTGGGTAATGTCAGTGAAATCACACTTGTCGTTGGTCACAATTGTATTTAAAGTCATAGTTTTAACAGTATTACAGATCAGGCTCCCCTCCCATTAGTACTGCATTATTTTGAGTGCTTTGCTCACAGAGGTCAATCAGCATCCACACTGATGGTTTGACGTTCTTGGCCAGTGCCTTGCATTGTGCAGTGTAATGTACAGCATCAGGTGTGAAGCAGGGAGAGAAACTCTCTGCTTCGCCTGGTAAGTTCTTCCAGATGGTCAGCTAGAAAAAAAGGAAACAAGTATTTAACAATGTGCAATAAACTGCGTCTGAGTGTGCGTATGAAAGTATATTTACTTACGTAATGTGCACTTCTCTCCTCTGCTCCAGTAGATAGGTCGGGTTAGCAGATGATTTACTTCCTCATATTCTGATAGTTCATTTAGCATTTCCAATTCCTGAGAAACATGTATGAGGAAAAAGTGTGTTTTGATTTTACAAGTCAGGCCTGTGTTGATGGATTTTTATATGTGCATGTCTGCACCATTTTCTACATAGTTGCTTAAGTGAGTATTCAGACCACTTCATTTTTTGTACACTTGTATGTTCCAAATTTATTTTGAACGAGTTACAATTTTTAGTTACTTCTTAGTTAGTACATAGTTAAGTGTATGAGCGTGAGATTTTTTTCTTTTTAAAAAATTGGCAATTTTAAAATCATGAAAAACTGTAGATTAATAGGCAAAAAAGTCAATTTTATCCATTTAGAATTGAATCTGTGATACACACTGCAAAAAGTGAAGGGGTTGAATACTATCTGAACTATGTGTGAGTACCGTGTTGCAGGCCAGCAGTAGTTGGTGTACTCTCTGGAAGATGTCAGTCTCTGTGCTGAAGCTGGGAGGATCTCTGCTGCAGTAAACTCTCAAGTCTGTTTCATAAACATGGCTGAAAGTAGCCATCAGCTGTTGAAGATCACATGCTGCCACACGCAGTGAGCTTGGAGAGAAGACTCCAGGACTCTGTGCCTCATCGCTCAGGAACTCACACTGAGGAGAATGTGGCACTCATCACTACCATGACATTCAAGCATGTCCAGCCAAATCCATGAGGTCTGTGCTTTTGCATTAGATTTAAAATAATTATTAATGCTCTGAACCACAGTAGAAAATTGCTTGGAGTGTCTGACAAATATTCTTAATTCACATAGTAGTAATGTTGGAAGGCCTTCCTCTTTCAGTTTAAGGCTTTACAATGCTGCAGGCATCGCCAGCCGTATCAGCACCATACCTCTGACAGTAGCTGCTCCAGTGCTGACTGAGTCAACTGTAGAAGGGCGGCAACATCAGCACCCTCTTCTCTACCCTGCTTATGAGATGACTTGGTGCCTTTGCATAATGCCCTGTGAGGTAAGAGAAGGAGAGGAGACGTTTAAAGGTAAAGGTTCTGCTGCTGGACAACAAGAAGAAACAAAGAAGACCCACCAAACCCAAACATCTACTAATCAGCCTCTCACTGGGAGTACATTAAAATGACAACCTGCAGCGGATAACTAGAATTACCTCTGTGCAGTTGTATGCCTCCACCCACAAGTCAGGTTCACAGGTATGGGACAGACACGAGGTCACTATGACCAACTAATCAGTTCATCTTTGAGCTGAAGTAGACATTTGTTCCAAATTTAAACACATTTGCTCAAGGCGTTGCTGAGATATCAGATCAACCTGAAAACATATAGTAATGGTACTGATAATGGTACGCTGTGTCCATCGCCCAGGACAAGAGCAGGCTGGTGAGTGTGACTGGCCACAACCTGCCATTGCTCCAGGACTGTGAAGTGAGCCAAAAAGATTGTAGCTGATCCCTCCAAACCCAGACACAAACTTTTTGAAAAACTCCACTCCGGTAAGAAGCTGCTGTCCATCAAGACCAGGACTACTCAGCACCAAAACACTTTCTTTAAGATGGCAGTTTCCCTTATAAAGAAAGCCCAGGACTTAAGATGGCAGTTTCCCTTATAAAGAATGGGCTTTCTTTACCCCCACTGACAGACTTTCATCCCACTCCCATGGTCATTTATGCACTAACATGATGTATTTCATGAACACAACTTGTTGCACTCTTTGCACTCTGTCCAGCTCCTTTCTTAATTCAACATATGTATACATTTAACATAGGTTTACTGTAAAAAAAAAAAAAAATTCTATTCCTAATTTGTACATTTACTGTTATACTTGTGTAGTCCTTTCTGTAGTAATTACAGTTTTCTTAAGCAGTTTACACCACATTACCAAAACAAATTTCTTGTATGTGAAAACCTACTTGACATAAACCTGTTTCTGATTGTGAGGATAGTCAGTGACAGTAAATTCTATGTACTTGATGTGTGCAGGCCAGGGCTCGAGGGTGGGTTTGAGCATTTGTGTGAGGTGAGGCAGATTCTCAGCAGCATAGAGCTCGTTCAGAAGCATCTCTTTATCCACTCTGTGCCCAGCAGATTTCTTGCAGCCTGGGACTAGAGTTAAAAGCTGCTCCAGGAACAGAAGTTGTCGACGATGACTTGCATCACCCTGGATAAATGGTTTGACAAATTACAAAGACATGATAGAACATTTTTATTTACTGTTACAATGAATATCTGTACATTGATGACATCAGTGCTATTTTGCTGCAGCCTCTCACCCTGATCAGGTCGAGGTCACCTGCTTTGCACAGCATCAGCTTCTGCCCAAACACAGCCATTTCTATACAAAAACAGATCGGAAAAACAAACTATAAATTATAAACCCTGGGCACTGTCACTTCAATTATTTTTCCTCTATTCCATTAGGAGGCAACATTACCTTTAGTCAAGACATCTGGGTCTTTAGATCCCATTGTCATCACCTTGGAATTGGCAAAATTTGGACTGATACTGTAAAATGACACAGTCACAGAGAGGTTTGTTTATACTGATACACAAATTAGTTCTAAACTTAGATGAAAACATGGGTAATGTTCTATGCACTTTATTCTACCTGCTGCAGATCCATGCCAGTATGTCGGTGCGGTGCTGGGAGGGAACACACAGCAGCTGCAGCATGCTGTCTGCTTCCTGCAGGTACAGACCTTCCACCAAGGGGCAGGATGCAGCCTCAACAAGGACAAAACCCAGACACAATATTCATTTGTGGATATGTGTATACAGCAGCAAATAACAGTAATATGTCAGGGGTTGGTGAGAAGTAATGAAATGAGGTGCAGTAGTTCAGAGTTTTCCTTATTCAATTTATATTCTCCTTAAACTTTTGGTTGATTGCTGGATGGCTTAGATGGACTAAATTTTTCAAAAACTTAAAAGAAAATTTCTGAATGTGAAATTGAGCCAAAATTATACAAAAAATGTAGATACTTAAAGTTGTTTTTGGTTTTAATTTAATACATCATTAAAACCAGAAAGCTCTATGTATAGTGAAAAATCAAAAACAATACAACAAATATATAGTCTTCATAACTATCATGTCATCTAAATGAAACATTTTTTCTAAATTTTAACACGTGACGTTTGCTTGGATAACATCCACGGAGTAGCTTAAAACAGATCTCTGACTTTGTTGTAATCTATTATTTTTAAGGTTATAGTTACTAGCTGTTTAGAACAAACTTTCCCCAGTAACGTTAATTGACTTCATATGGAAGGGTGACAGTGCCTCTGAAAAAGGGGATCCGCGAAGAAGAGCGACGTCGGTTTAAGCTCGTTAGGTAATTATTAGCCACGCCAAGGGACAAACAGTAAACAACAGTTGGATCATACGAACACATCCGAACATTTACCCCGCTGCTGGACAGCTGTTTCAAAACGTCTTTGTGACTTCATCCCTGATGTGTATGTGTATGAATGATGGAGAAACATAGCCGATTAGGGCCAAGCAAAAATATAACCATAGCGCACACTGTTGCTGTCATTTAAATTAGTTTCACAGTTGCGTTATCTTATTTTACCTGCAAAGAATCATAAATACATCGTGCAAATTCCCTTTCTTTCAAAGCACCCGCCATTTTCCAAACAAACCACTGTCCTTCGTAAAGCGTGTTCTTCTTCTGTTGTTTAATGGCTGTTGCCAAACAGTTCTGATGCTTTTCATTCTTCTTCGCTTACTAACGAACTGCAACCGGGCGGAGCATTAGTGCCACCAAGTGTAACTGTAATTTTTACTATCAGCCCCGAGTCTTAATTATTCGCCTAAGTGACAGCAATAATCATCCATCTTCAGAGTACAAGAGGTTAAACCACTTGTAATAAAATATAATAAATGAGACAAAATACGAATAATACAGTAATGTAACAATACAATAATATGGCATGAATACATTATAAAGTCACTTTAGGTTTTTCCCGTTTAGGGGTCGCCACAGCGAATCGTCACAGTGACTACTCGCATGTTGACATTTGGCACGTGTTTTACGTCGGATGCCCTTCCTGACGCAACCCTGATTCGAACCATTAGCCTATCAGGGACGGCCATGGCATGAATACACTAAATACAAGAAATATAAATAAAGAAAGAGTAAGCTCATTCATTAAAATTTGGAACTCCAGTGGGTTCTCATTTTAGGTGTCATCCAGACAAATAATTTTACTAATACTTATACATAATTCCAGTTAACTATATTTAATTAAATGTGCCAAAGAATTGGTTTGTATTCTTGTCAAAGCTCCATATTTATGTTATATAATGTTTTATCTATCATTTGGCTCCAAAGAGGGTTATCAGGCCATGCCATCATAATTATTCTGGGCCTCACAAGTCACACCATTTTCTAACCTTAACCTATCATAAAATGCACATCCAATGATTTCATAGACACCATTACAGTATGTATAGCCCTGTAAAAACATTTATAGATTCAGGCAACCTCCCCATAGGCTACATATAAAATTCCTATATGACAGCAGAGCAGATGGTTACACCAATATTAGCGCACATTTGGCTTGTGCTACAGCTTCGTGGAGCTTTGATCAGCAGCCATTATAGGCCACAATCAATCTAAACCTTTAACATCTGGACACAAATGTCCATTTTTGTCAGTCATATACATAGGCATATAAAAGGCGGCAAATAAGATTAAATTGGCCAAAAGAGCACTGAATGCTGAGTGCTAAATAACTTAGAATTTGGTCAAAAATCCAGAAGGCTGTCAGATTGAGAAGCAACAAAATGTATAAATTGGTCTAGGCTAAGATTAGGGCACACAGGACATAATGCTACATTGTGCAAGGAAAAGACTGCTTCAGATAAATGCAAACATTATACATGTAAGGAAGCTGATTCTGAAGGGGTTGTATGACATTCAGTAGTGAACGACTATGGTGGTAGGTATCAGTGACGTGCGGTGAAGTTGACAGCTGGTGAGGCACTGTCAGATTTACAAATACAAATGAACCGTTAACAAATTGTCTGTTAACAGACAATGCGTTATGTTTTATAGCTCATATCAGCATTCTTCACACAAACGTGACCCATATTTAATTTGAGGTTACAATTTATTCCAATTGAGCTTATTTCTAACTAGAAATAATAAAAGTTTATGGTCTTACCTTTACCATCCATCCATCCATCCATTTTCTTCCGCTTATCCGGGGCCGGGTCGCGGGGGCAGCAGTCTGAGCAAAGATGCCCAGACCTCCCTCTCTCCAGACACTTCCTCCAGCTCCTCCGGGGGAATGCTGAGGCGTTCCCAGGCCAGCCGAGAGACAT